TGTAATGACTCCTCCAGCCTTCAGGATACAAGCCCTGAATATTCTTTGTTTGTAATAGCTCTGTTTTAATGCGATGTCTCCCTGCTAACTAGACACAACCCTGTATGCCAGTGTTCCTTACCCCACCCCTAACTGTTTTTAGCCCTGCCACTGTGACCTTCATGACCCTGTCCACAAGGCGCCAAAAGAGAGCTCTCCTACTTAGAGCTCTGCTCATAGGAGGAAGCCTGGTGACCGCTATAGGGCTGGGAGCAGGAGGCTTAGGCCTAGCCACCCATTTTTATTAAAAACTCTCTATGGACATTAGCCGGGACATAGACAAAGTAGCAGATTCTCTCCTGGGCTTACAAACCCAGATAACTTCTCTGGCCAGAGTGACCTTACAAAACCGTAGAGCTCTAGACTTGCTTACAGCAGAGAAAGGAAGTATGTGCCAGTTTCTAAGGGAAGAATGTTGTTTCTTTGTGAATGCATCAGGCATAGTCCAAAATAAGGTCCGAGAGTTTAAAAAATCTGTTAAAAAGCACCTGTCTGAGGCAGAAGCCTATGATTTATTTAACTGGTAGAAAACATCCTGGGGTAAATGGCTTATTCCACTTCTTGGACCCCTCACTGCCCTGATGCTTATCCTAACCCTAGGTCCCTGTATAATTAACAGAATACTCAACTTAATTAAAAAAAAGATAAGAACAATCCAGTTGATAGTTATGCTGTCTCAATACCATTACTTAAGAGACCGAAGAAGAAAGCACTCATGATTGAGCTAGGGTGTAGAAGAAGAGGGGAATGAGAGACTCCATTTTGTAACCAATATGTCATTTTAAAATGTATAAGCCTCTAGAGCAGTAAACTGAAAGCGGTGGGGGAAGGGGGAAAAGAGCCCCCACCCAAACATCAGCCAATACTGTATTACCCTGTTTTCGCGCCCTTCCTTTGAACCAGCCAATCCTGTATCGCCCTGTTTTCGCGGGCTTTCCCCTTTAAATAGGCGGGACAGCCCAGAATCGGGGCCGCGGCCATCTTCCCTGTTGTATGAACACGGTTTGGATTCGAATCTGAAATAAATTCCCTCTTGCCCTTGCATCGGTGTCGGCTCCTTGGTGACTTGGGGGGAAACTGGATTTGGGGCCCTCTTGACACCAGCAGTCGGGAAATCAAAAAGATGGATTGCATTGTGAAAATATGATGTCAGGGTTCTCTCCAGAGTACTGAAGAGCAACAGCGTCAGTCTAGAGACTAAGGTGTGTCTGATCCCAGCCATGTTGTTGTTAAGTGCGTCCAGTCGTAGGCGACTCATAACGACCTCGACACTTGCGTGACTTCCATCCTCTCTCCAAGTTCATAGGGTTTCTGGAGGCAAGCTATTTAAGGAAGTGGATGCCACTCCTGCTTCCAAACTTGTTTTAATCGGATCCCAGCCATAATCTTTGCAAATTACTTGTTAACTGCTCTTTAATGATTCCAAAGTTAAACTATTTCAGAGGCGCCAATATCTTCCCCCTGTGGCGTAGCTGAGGTTAGAACCTCAGACTTTCCAGTAGGTAGCTTGCGCTTTAACCACTCCACCACCAGAGTTTAGGCGGCCAGACCCTGGCACTTAACCCACTTTCATGGAGGGGATACCAATTCACGCCTCACCGGGTTTCTCCATAACTCTTAATGGGAACACACTGCGTTATCTTTCTCCCCCTGCTGCTAAGATATTCAGGTGCAGTATTACACCCATAATAAGACCTTGCTGGCAGATGGTACCCGCTACAAACCCTCAGAAGGGCTCACTCTGCGCCTTTGAAGGTAGACCCTTCGCAGGACCCGTCATCTCTGACAGCGGAAGCGCGCTCTGCACACGCTGGACACCCCGCCCATGCCCGGGCACAGCCAATCAGCAGCCTTCTCTTACCGGGCCTCCCCGCCCCCCACACCGGCACAGCCAATCAGCAGCCCCCTCCTTCGCGCTGTTCCCGGACAACATGGCGGCGGCCGTTGGCGTGATATGCCGTTCCTAGCCTTGTTGCTGTTTCCCTCGTGTTGCAAAATATGAAAGAAGAACGGCTAGTGGAAAGGGTCTTAGGCAATGAGTCGGCGACGGAAACATGGGGAAGGCTCTGGTCCGAAGGACTCGCCGCGCAAACCTGAAGAGTGCGGCTCGTTGGAGCCGGGGAGGAGGCGACTGAGGTCGAGCCGCGGCTCCGGGCCCCGCGGGGCTGGAGAAGTGTTGCCCCAGCCCGTGTGGCAGCAAGGGCAGCTCCCCGCAGCTGCTGACTGCAGTAAAAGTAACCCCGAGGGTGAGACTTCGGCCCCGCAGCCTCCCCAGGCTTGGGCGCTGCAGCCCGAGCCCCGCTTCCAGCGGGACACGCAGGGTGTGGGTGGACGTGGGTCCTCGAGGGGGCTGAGTCCAGCCTTGTCCCCCGAGGCCAGAAGTAGCCCAGACCACTCCCCACGGTGCCAATCCCCCCACCCCCGCCCCGTGGCTCACTGCAGCTTAGGACCGACCCCTTGGTCACCCTGCACCATGCTGGGTCGTGAGTGGACCAGGTTCGGGGAGAGATGCTACTCAGCATGGTGGGGCGAGCAGCCCTATGTCCTCCACTTCTTCCAGGTAGAACTCCTTCTTTTGTCCTTGACCTGGTACTTCAGGGACCGTGAATTGTGTGGGTTGTCAGCGCCACGCCTCTTAGTGCACAAACCAGAAGTACCTAGGTGGTTTCTCCTCCAAGTAGGAAAGAAGGGTGCCATGCACTTCATTCTAATTTTAAACAGCTTGTATTAGTACATTATGGTAGGAGCTGAAACTCTTAAAAGATTAATTTTTTTCACCACTCGTTTTATTTCTTGGAATGTAACTTTTGTTCTAAGTTTTTTGTTTACTCCCACCTTGCTTTTCCTAAATGAACAAAATATATTTACATAGAATACAAAAGTGATATTGGAAAAAGCTTGCTGAGAAAGAAATGGCCTAAGGCTTCCGTGTAAATTGAGTATTTACTGAAAAGGGATTAAAGCGATTTGCGTAGACATTGGGTACACTTAAAACTCGGGGGAGTCTTAAATGAAGTGACTAGGTTATGCAGCTGAAAGGTATCAATCTTTTGTCATCCTTATTCAAAGGAAGAAGAATTGACGACTTTGAGTTGTAATGTTAGAAAAGAACAGTGAACATCCTATGGACTCTCAAAAGAACAAACAAATATATCTTGGAGAGGGTGCAGCCTGAGTGCTCTTTGGAGGCAAGGATGATGAGACTTCCGCTCACATACTTGGGCATGTTACTGGGAGAGGCTATTCCTTGGAGAGGGATGTGATGCTGGGAAGGGTGGAGAGTCAGTGAAGGGAGAGGAAGACCCTCAACCAGGTGGATTGACATGGTGACTGCAGCAGTGGGCTCTTGTGTGTCAAGAAGTGTGAGGTTGGCACAGGATAGGACAGGGTTCTGATTTGTTCAAAGGCTTGCTGTGACTCATACTTGACTCCGGGGCAGCTAAAAACAACAAGGTTATACAGTATCATTCTTGGAACTACTGTTGTTGTTAGTGACTCTTAAGAAAGTGCTATCCACATTTCTCACCTACTTGCTACTAGGTTATCTAAAAGTAATTAGAGTATTATATTAAAATGTCACATTTGTGAATGTTGGACAGATAATTTTTTTTTTTTTTTTAATGTGTAACATTTCAGTTATAGTTAAACTAATATCCTTTCTCTGGACATGTTACAAAGAGGGACCCGACCCATCTTTGGAGAGGGGCATTATCCTTGGGAGGGTGGAGAGACAGCGAAAGAGAGGAAGGCCCTCGATGAGATGGATTGATTCAGTCACTGGTTCAATGGGGGGGTAGGTGTGTCAGAGACAATAAGATTGCCACTGGTTAGAGCAAGGTTTAGGGCTCTTGTACATGGGGTCGCTGTGAGTAGCAACTGGCTTGATAGCACATAACAACAACATCCTTTCTGAAAAACTTTTCAATTGGTCTAGAAAGTAGTCTAATGTGATAATTATCATTTGAATTGTATTCTTTTATATAGAAAGATATGAAACACCAAAGAGGACAATGAAAATGGATTTTTTACCATCGCCTTTCTGTTCTCCTAATGATCCAGATGGACTGAATGATATCTTTTGGGATCAGAATTCTCCAATGACAAAGCAGTTAGGTAATTTGTTATTATTGCTTCCATCTGAGCAGATATTAGGGTTTAACTAAAAATTCCTTCAGCTAACACCATTCTGGTATGGCAGTTGTTTTAGAATTTATTGTTACTTTATCACTTATTTATATGTCCACTAACATCATTCTCTAAAAAAGTGATAACTTTGTTTACTATGTGTGGAATTTTTCTCCCCCTTTTAGGTAAAGGAAGAAAAAAACAGAATTGCATTACAGATAATGATGAGATTTCACATATTGTTAATCGAATTGCTCCCCAGGTAAATATTACTAGGTTTATATCGATTTTAAAACACTGAAAAAGGTGCTTCCAGTCCTTGTGCAGATCATATAAATGAAAAACAATAGCATTCTATGTTTTACTGTGTTTTTTTTCTAAAAATTTCACAGTAAACATCGGCTTTACCTTTTCCACTTCGTAAAACTAGTAATATATATTAAGCATTATATGTTGGTTTAACTTTCTGCATGATTTTGATTAAGTTTTTGTTTATTTTTTTGTAACATGTGTTTCATAATACTTCATATTTATTTTCAAGTTAATTGAAATTACAGAGTTGTTGTTAGAGCTCCGAATCTTGTGTCGTCCTTTTCTTCACAATACCTGATAAACTTGAGCCCATTGAGGCAGTCACCATGTCTTTCTATCTGGTGGAGGGTCTTCCTCATCTTTCCCACATGTATTGTCCCTCTACAGGAAATAGCCTCTCCTGACAACATGCCAAGAATATGGGAAACGAAGCTTTGCCATCTGTGCCTTGAAGGAGCACTCTGGCTGCACTTTGGTGAAGACATACCTGTTTGTTTCTTGGCAGTTCATGGGCTATTTAGTGCTCTTCTCCAGCACTGCAACTCAAAGGCATCAGATCTTCTTCTGTCACTGTTAGTCACTGTCCAGCTCTCTGCTACATAGCAAGTAATTGTGACCATCATGACCTGAATCACTTATACCTTTATTTCTAGACCTACATTTTTGCTCTATAGCACTCTGGAGGAGGTCCCTGACAGCATATTTTCCCAGTGCATCTTGTCTTAATTTCTTGACTGTCAGTGCCTTGGAAGTTGATTGTGGAACTGAGCAAGTTGATTCATCATTTTGGTGCCAATTGATCTTTGTCTTACTGATGTTGATCTTTAATCCACATTGAAGACTACTGTCCTTGATGTTCTGCAGCAAGCGCTTCAGGTCCTCCTCTGTTTCAGCAAGAAAATTTGTGTCTCCTGCATAACATAGAGTGTTGATGAGTCTTCCTCCAGTCCTGATGCCACACTCCTCATAGAGCTCTGGCTCCCGGATAATCTGTTCTGCATGTAGATTGAAAAAGTATGGAGATAGGATGCATCCTGGACCCATTCCTTTCTTGATTTTAAATCATGCATTGTTTCCTTGCTCTGTTCTGACAACTGCTTCCTGGTTCTAGTGTACATTCTGCATAAGCACAGTCAAGTCTTCTGAGATTCCTGTTTTACTTAAGGTTAGCCACGGTTTGTTGTGATCCACAGTCAAATGCCTTTGCATTGTCAATGAAACACAGATAGACATTCCTGCTTTCAGCCAAGATGCATCTGACTCTGACATGATGTTCCTTCCTAGTGCCGTGGCCTCGTCTAAACTGAGCTTGTATTTCTGGTAGTTCTCTATCAATATTCCCATGGTTTTTGGATAATCTCAGCAAAATTTTGCTTGTCTGTGATATTAGTGTTTTATTTAATAATTGCCACACTTTGTTGGGTCACCTTTTTTTGGAAAAGGAATAAATACAGATCTCATCCAGTCAGTTGGCCAGGTTAGTTGTCCTCCAGATTTTTTGATTCAGCTTGGTGAGCATGTCCAGGGCTGCATCTATTGAAATAGAACAGTTGGTATTCCATTAATTCCTGGAGACTTGTTTTTTGCCACTTCTTTCAGAGCAGCTTGAACCTCTTCTTTCATCACCATAGCCGCTTGGTCAGATGTTTGATGAAATTCTTCTGTGTCAGCCACTTCTTTTTGGTACAGTGAATCTGTATTTTTTTCTACCTTCTTTTGATGCTTCCTTGATCAGTGTTCAGCCCATAGCATCCTTAAGTATTGCCACTCAAGGCTTGGATTTGTTCTTCAGTTAACAATTTCTGTAAATCAAATGACATCACCAAGAAAATAAAAGGACAATCTACAAAATGTGAGAGCATATTTTAGAAATCTCATGAGGAAATTGTATCCTAAGTATATAAATTGCCCTTATGACTCAATAAAAAAGGAAAAAACAAAACAAATAATCCAATTAAAATTGTATGCAGGAACAAAATATATTTTTCTCCAAGGAAGATAAGTTATTGACATCATTAATCATCAGGAAATTTAAATCAAAACCATAGTGATGCACTGCTTCCTTCATACCTGAGAAGATATCTAGAACATTCAGGTAACAAGTGCTGATTACGTCATGGATAAAATAGAGTCTTAATGTGCTTCTTTTTGTAGTATAATATTTATTATTCAGTCTCTGTAAAAAAGATACTGAAATATCTTCAAATGATTAAACATTAAATTACAGTGTGATGAAGATATTTCACCTTTAATTATTTTCCCAAAAGAATGGAAAACACATCTTAATTAAAACATGTACAAACAAACAAACAAAAAAAGAAATGACAAGTGAGTTTGACCCGTTTGTTTTTCTGACTTTAGCTCTTAGCACATTTCATTACAATACTTTGCTTTGTCTACACATGCTGCCCTTTGAAATTTTCTTTTCAGCTCTTTAACTTCCTGATTTCTTCCCTTGGCTTTGGTTTCTTGGGACTCCAGTGCAATATTCAGAATCTTTTCTGACATTCATCTCTGTCATCCTCCTCTGTCTTTGCATTCTTCCTGGATGATATCCTCCCACAGCTCATCTGATCTTCATTCATTAGCGTTCAAGGCCTCAAACTTGTGTCTGAGATGGTGTTTTAATTCAGATGTGAGAGACTCAAGGTCAAGTATTGTTCTTGTGAATTTGTTTTCTTCTTTTTTTAACTTCCATTTGACTAGTTGATGGTTTTTTCCACAGTCAGCAGCTGCCTAGTTTCACAGCTTCTCCAACAAGTCTTTCCATGAACATTATCAGTCTGATTCCTCTGTGTAGTCCATGTCTACAGTTGCTGTTTTTCTTATGCAAGGTACTTGTAACAAATAAATCATTGCTTATACAAAATTCTAGCTCCAGCCTTATTTCTGTCACCAATCTGTTTTCTGACTACTGATATTTCTTCCTTATTCCCAACTTTTGCGTTCCAGTCACACATTATTAATGCATCTTGATTGCATGTTTGATCAATTTCTGACTTCAAAAGATGGTAGAAATCCTCTACTTCCTCCTCTTTGGCTCTGGCTGCTGGTACATATATTTGAATGATAGTGGTATTAACAAATCTTCCTTGTATGTATATGGATATGATCCTGTCACTCACGATGTTGTACTTCAAGATGGATCTAGAAATGGTCTTTTTAACTGTGAATGCAGCCCATTGTCCTCACGTTTTCATTTCCACCACAGTAGAACCTAAGTCCCTCCAATTCAAAATGTCCCATGCGAATTAATCTCCTTTTGTCAGTGCCCAGTATGTCAGTATTTAGACATTCTGTTTTTTCTATCACAATGTCCAATTTTTCTACATTTATACTTATCACACTCCATGTTCCCATCAGTGGTGTCAGCTTGCACCTGTTCTCCTCCTTTGTGTTTCCCAATACAGGGCCCCGCCTCTGGTGCAGTATCTGCTAGTCTACTCTAAATGTCCATAGGCTTTGGAAGGTCATTTCGGCCCTTAGTAGGCCTGTTTAAGAGTGAATGGCCAATCCTTCATCCTAGTCTGTGTTAATTTGAAGATGTCCGTAATTGCAGACTTTGTAAGTGCAATGTGTCTCCTGATCTTCTGACTACTAGAGATGAAGTCATTGACAGTTTGAGTCTTTTCTCCATCTGTCTTGATGTTGTGTATCGATCCAGTAGTAAAAATTTTTTTTCTTGACATTGAGATGCAATCTATATTGAAAGTTGTAGTCTTTGATTTTCTGTAGCAAGCATTTGAAGTCCTCCCTTCGAATAAGCCCAGTGTGTCATCTGCATAACAGAGGTTGTTGAATCTTCCCTGATCCTTATGCCACATTTTTTTTCATAGAGTCCAGCTTCTCGATTAATTGGCTCTGTGTACAGAATGAAAAGGTTTGGATAAAAGATGCAGCCCTACTGCACACTTTTCCTAATTGTAAGCCATGTAGTGGCTTGGTCTAGGTATGGGTTTCACAGCAGCACAGTTAAGTGATCTGGCATTCCATTCTGTCAATGTTAAGTCGTGATTTGCCATGATCCACGCAGTTCACATGCCTTTGCATAGTCAGTAAAGAACAAATAGACATTCTTTGGTACTCCTTGGTTTCAGCCAAGACCTATGTGACATCTGTAATGATATCCTTGATACCATGGCCTATTCTAAACCAAGCTAGAACTGGCAGTTCTGTCTGTTCTCATAGCTGTTTTGAATGATCTTCAGCACTATTTTGCTTGTTGTTGTTATGTGCCGTCGAGTCGTTTGCGACTCATAGCGACCCTATGTACAACAGCCCTAAACTGTGCTCTATCCTGTGCCGATCTCATTGCCTCTGACAAACCCATTCTGAGTACCCCAGTCACTGAATCAATCCACCTCATAGAGGGTCTTCCC